TAATAATAAATATATATATTTGCAAGGATGGGAAGTAATCGTAAAATCGAATGTTGTACTAAAACCCCGAAATATAATTAGTAGAACACTACAATTCGATTAATGTTCTTCAGGTCAGAATCCAGCGAGCGAATAAGTATTTAATGAATACAATCATTTGATAAAATCAGCATTTGAAAATTTGATTTAAAAAATCAGGCCCACAATTTCCACCGAAACTTAAAGAATTTCAGTAATTAAATTATGACTCAATTAATTTATATTTTCATGTTTATTGGTATTAATTTTGTTGATGAGATTTTTTCATCTGTAGCTTGTAAGATACATATTCAATTTAAAAAATTTATACATTCGGTGTGCAAAATATGCACGAAATTAAAACATTGTATATTTTGAGCAAGTGAAACTATCGTTATCATGATGCATACCGTTAAAATTTAAGGGCTTATCATCCACTCAGAAGGATCCTCGTTCTATGTAGAAAATAACTCATTTTAATTTTTGGTAGATTTGACAAACTTGTAAATTTCGCAAATACGAACATATTTTCATCAGTTTATGAAAAAAAATTACGAAAAAAAATCAGAGTACGCATGTATGTATAGGTAACCGAAATTCTAGAAATAACATTGAAACAAATTGGATACATCCATCTGCAAAAATCTTGCACAGTTTAGACATTACACAGTTTTCAAATATTCTAGAAAACCCATTCGCTCGTAGGTCAAACAGCGTGGTTAAACTATCTGTAAATTTATTTACCTAGTTAAAAATTTAAAAATTTTCCCAAATCGACTTCACCATCGTCCAAGCGCTGGAATAAGTCCTGAAGGAAGGTGAAATCGAGTGTGGTGCATATGTAAATTTCTGAAATAGTATTTATGTAAAATTTATTAGTCATTATGTGATTTTACATTTGATGAGATTCTCAACAAAGCAAATGAAGCATAAAAAAACACAACGAACAGTGAAGAATTGTTGTGCAAATTTTGAGTCTGATTTAAAAAAACCCAGTCATATCTCAATTATTATGAGAAGAATAATTTAATCTGTTGCGTTAAAAATTTATCCCTTGAAACCTTAAAAAAAGATTCAGGACTTATCATGGTCTGTGTTTTGCAGTTTTTTTTATGAATTAATAGTAAATAAATATATGTAAGTTCAAGGATGGGAAATAATCTTAAAATCGAGTGTAGTTACAAAACGCCGAAATAGAATTATTCAAAAATGTAATTATTACGGCTCATGTACTTCAGGTTAAACTTATAATGATTAGTTAGATGTAATTTTTACTGATCAATTATCAAAATTTGATAAAAAGAATTCAAGCCGAAAATTTGCAACGCAAATTGAAGAATTTCAATAATTAAACAATTAAATAATATTTTCACGTTTATACGTTTCAATAATTAATTAATTTTCATGTTTTTTTGGTGTTAATTTAAGGTGCTATTGGTTAATGATATGCTGGAAATGATAAAGTACCAAACGGTATTAATTTTCAATTAATTTGCATTATCCAAGTATATTTGAAGACTGCAAATTTTTACAAAATGCCAACCCCCATAAAATTCAAAGTGTTTAAATAATTAAACCTTTACAATAATTTGCTTCCATAGTAACGTCCAAGTCATAACTTCATGTGTAGTTTTTAATTTGTTTACATAAATTTAAGAAATTTATACATTTGGTGTGCACAATAGGCACGAAATTAAAACATTACATATTTTGATGAAGTAAAACTATCATTTAAATTTCGTTATCAGGAAGCATGCCATTAAAACTTAATAGCTTACCATTCGTGCAGTAGCATACTCGTTATCGGGAAGGAAATAACCATGAAATAACTCACTCCGATCTTTCGTAGATTTAGCAAACTTGCAAATTTCGAAAAGTTTTACAAAAACTGTTTACTTTACTCAAAATTTACTTAAATAAATAAATTTTATTCTAGTAAATATTTTATTTGAATAGATAATCTTAAATTTTACTTTACTCGTGAATTAAGAATATTCGAGAAAGCAAACTCCCTCACAATAATCTATCACAGTTCGCGAAACTTTAGATTTGTACTATGAATAAAAAATTTAATAATTTTCCGAAATTGACTACACCATCATACAAATTCGGAGATCGTAAAATCATAAATTATTTAATTACTAACAATTAAAAAAATTGTTGAATTATCCAACTATGTAGAGAATTGCCTTGTTACGTATTAACATATTCTGCAACTTTTTACACAGCAATAGTAGCAGTGGTTCTGAATATGGAATCTTGGAAAACCGCTGTTATATCTGTTGGATATAATGAAGAGGTTGTGTTTGTGAATCATGGATAATATTGTAGTATTGAATACTTAAATTGGTAAGATTGAAGTACAAATCTTGAGGCGAGTGTATTGAGAACTTTTCAGGAGGAATAATAGGCAAAAATTAGCAATTTTTTTAATTAGCAAAAATAGGGGACCCAACTTGACTGGAAACCAGTATCTCTCTGTGCCTACCAGAGCGCCATACCTTTAGGCAATAGAGCCCCACATTTTGCTGTTGCGTTTTATCCTCCCGATATCTCACTTGTTATTAAATAGCCCCACATATTACAAGAAAGCCCTTAAAATTCTGTGCTAAATATGTATATCAACCCGTTTTTAAACTACCTATCACACCCAAGACCGCACGACGCAAAAAAACCATACATGAAAACATTTACTATACATTTTAATAATTGAGATGTTGCTCTTGGTTCTTCTCGCGTGAAGGTTGATGATTTTGATAAACTTTCAAATTTAGATTTTTTTAAATTGTATTTATATTCTCAAGATTCCATTTTAAGTCTGGTCAAAAATTCGCTCCATTTCGCCATCATTTCAATTAACGGGGAAAAAAATGAAAAATGTCCATTTTTAAATTTTTGTGACACCTTCCACGCCAATAATTTCTCCTGAAAAAAAAACTACGAATTTTAATATTTCAGATGCGAGTAAGTCATCGACGTAGTGTAATGTAATTTTTATTCTTCTTCCTGAAATCCAACGGATTAAAGTTCTCCTCGCGATAATCCGGTGAGGAGAATCTAGTTCCTCACCTCGTTCAGGATTTTCCTTGCAGATTTTAACCAAGATGCGCAATTTATGGAAAAGTTTGGGAATAATTAAATTAAGAGTTTGAATAATTCGAAAAAAATTTCTTAAATGAGGTGAAATAAAATGGTGTAAAATATTTAATACCACAATTTCACCGTCAAAGTGCATTAAGATTACGCTATGGTCTTACAAGGTCTGGAAATAGGAAGCAGCGTAGTTTTAAGAAATAATCCACTATTTAAGTTATGAGGAGTTATCTGTTTTGAAATTAATAATTTAGCTAAATTAGTTACGATGCAACGCAAAAATTTAACTTAACGCTAAATTCATTATTTTTCATACAAGTTTACTACCTAGAATACTGTACATACAAACCAATAACAAAGGATTTCTTGTACGATATTCATGTGTATTTTTCCTACTCGCGAAGTGAAAATGTATTACATAGTTTGTAATAGTCAATATTTTCAATAAAAGTGGTTTGGAGTTAAAAATTGTATAAGATTGGATTCATTCGAGGTTGCAAGTAATTAAAAAAAAACTGATAAATTTTTAATCTTAACTGGGAATAAATAGTCATGAAATTAATTAGAGTCAGGACTATTGATTTCTTAGACTTTCTTCTTCCAGGGTAAAAAATTTTGTCGATTTTGCACCGGATGTAACTTCTGCGCTAACACTAGTGTAAAATTGGTATTTGTTTGCTTAATTTCGTGCACTTCCGTTATCCGTCAGAGTTAAGAATAAGTTTCAATAATTTGTGGAAATTTTTTATAAAAATTGTTATACGGCAAAAGAAATCCATTGCTAAACTGGTAAAAAAATACTCACCTTCACGCCAACACGCAGAGAAAAAATGTTTGGGGTTGATGTCAAAATTGTAATTTTTATTAGCTTAAGAACATAAATTACATAAGATATCGGTAGGATTTAATTGGATTTAAGCTGATAAAATATGAATCTCAACCGGAAATAATCTGTTATCTTAGTGAATAAACAAACAAATTATTATTATTATTTGGTAAAAAATTATTATAAATTTTAGAATAGTTCTCTTAAAATTTGGTAATTTTTGGTGAAACATTATTGTGGTGGTTTGGTTGTGATTTAGAGGACTGTATGTAGGTGTGACTTGTGACTCGATGTTATAACTTGATGACCGTGCAAATAAACGAAGTGGCGGTGGTCAAACGATGGTATTTTAAGTTATTTAATGTCACAAATCCAATTACTTTTACAAATTTAGAGAGAGAGTGACGATGTTACAAGTATTTAACGACGAAAAGGACAAAATGGTTGGAGGCACTAGTTCTTCCTCCGGTCGTCGTAGCACACTGAATTATTTTTACCAAATTCACATATATGAAGCCGAGTGGCCATTACACAAAAACTCCCCACTTTTACAAACACCAATCCAAATTGAACAACACACAGAAAATGGGAGTAAAATATAGAAAATTCTGACCAATTAGGAGAAAGGTTACACGAGTTCACAAGGGTCAAATAGTCAAATTTAAAAGATAAAACTGGACAGAAATCCAATTAGTGGTAGCCAGAAGGGCGACAGTAAAACTAAAATTTACATCTTGCGGGCATCTCATGCTGCCTCTCCAAAGGGAATTCTGGGTAGGTTAGGCTTCCGGCACAGAAAAAGGTTCTGTGCAGACTGCGTGTCTGCACAGAAAAAGGTTCTGTGCAGACTGCGTGTGTGCACAGAAACTCTCCGGGAGGGTAAGCACCCCGGCACAGAAACTCTACATACATCGCTATCGTGTCAATCATCATCATATCACGTTAAAACTATACAAATGCGGACAAATATTCATACAAATATCCTCAAGTCAAATCATAAAACCAATCATGTCATTACATAAAATTCATATTATTACATAAAATTCATATCATGTCAAATTATTCATTTCTCGACGACATGCTCCTCCTCAAGGCGAGCGTCGCCTTCCTCCGGGGAGTCGAGTTGGGGGGCGGTCTTGTCCCGCACGTCGAGGATGCAGAGTTTCGCGACGGGGCGTCGATACACCTTGCCGTGGGATTCGCGAATATCCGCGACGCGGACAATTCCATCCTTTCCGGGGAAAACCTTCACCACCATCCCCAGTGGCCATAGATTTCGGTCGAGGGATTCATTCATTTCCACGACGACGTCCCCTTCTTGGATGGGTGCGGCATGGCGGTTCCATTTTTCCCGGCGGAGGAGAGTGGGGAGGTACTCTCGCACCCACCTCTTCCAAAATTGATTTGCCAGCTCTTGAGTAGCTCTCCACTGCTTGTGGCTTGTGAGATCAGCGGGACTGAAGCTTCCCAGCGGTTGCAAGTTGCTGGACCGTCCGATGAGAATGTGATTGGGGGTCAAGGCTTCCGGGTCGTTGGGGTCAACGGAGACATGAGTGAGGGGGTGGCTGTTGACCGAGTGTTCAGCTTCCACGAGAAAGGTGTACAGGGACTCATCCTTCAGATTCTTTTGCAGGAGGACCTTTCCCAGTGCGGTCTTTACGGAGCGGACGAGACGTTCCCAGCTTCCGCCAAAATGTGGTGCAGAAGGGGAATTCCAATGCCAAGTGATTCCACGCACGGAACATTCGCTCTCAGTTTGTTGTTGGTGTAATTCTTGCAGGGCCGTCTTCAACTCGTGGTCGGCGCCGCGAAAGTTGGTACCGTTGTCGGAGTAGATGTGGGCGGGGCATCCTCGTCTTCCCACAAATCTCCGGATTGCCATAATGCACGCGTCGGTATTCAGGCTGGTGGCGATCTCAAGATGCACGGCACGAGTGACCAGGCAGGTGAAGAGAGCACCGTATCTCTTCTCGCGGCTTCTCTTCACGATTACCTCGATGGGACCGAAGTAATCCAGGCCGGTACGGTGGAAGGGGATGACGTGACTGTCGAGTCGGGCTTCTGGCAGTTGTCCCATCTCGGGTGGGGTTGGTTTCGCTTTAAAGTTGCGGCAGATTTGGCAGGTCTGCTGAGCTTTCTTGACGGCCGAACGGAGATGGACAATGCAATCCTGTTGGCGAATCTCGTTCAGGACTCGTTCTGTACCATGGTGACCACACTGTCGGTGATAGTGGTCAATGAGGAGACGGGTGTAAGGGTGTCTGGCATCCAACAAAACTGGCCTCCTCCCGGCTTGGTCAACTTGTGATGCGTTGTCAATCCTTCCTCTGACACGCATTACTTGGTCGTTGTCAAAGTACGGGCAGAATTTGGACAATCTGCTCTTCTTGGGAAGGGGCAGATCTGCAGATAGGCACTCCCATTCATCTCGGAAACTTTGTTGCTGGCTCGTTTTCCACCACCATTGCTGGGCACGGAGCAGCTCGTCGGGACAAATCTCGTTGCTGCGGCGAGGGGATTGCTCCTTCTTCGCGATATCAACCACACGCAAAACATACGCCGTGGTATTGACCAGTCTTCTCCACAGTGAGAAACGACTGATGTCGATTAGGGGGGCGACTTCTTGGAGATGAAGCACACAATTCTTCATCTCCTCATCTGGGCAGAGTTTAATATTGTTGCAGGTCGGGACAGGCCAGTGGTTTTCTTCTCTGTGTAGAAAGGGGGGCCCATTCAACCAGCGACTGGATGGTTGAAAGTCGCAAGGGGATTCCAGGCGGGTCAACTCGTCCGCGACGTTCTCAAGTGTGGGGACCCACCTCCACTGTTCGGGAGTGGAGAGCTCTTGAATCTCTCCCACTCGGTTGGCGACAAACTGAACGTATTTTCGCCCGTCCGACTTTATCCACCCGAGAACCGTAGTGTTGTCGGACCAGAAAATCGTTTGGTCAATTTTCACATCGTGTTGTTGAGTGAGCGTGTTGGCGAGTCTCACTCCCATCAAGGCTGCTTGGAGTTCCATTCGTGGGATGGACAGGCTTTTCAGTGGGGCCACCTTTGCTTTTTCCATGACGAGGACAACTTCAAGGTCCTCTTCTTTCCGGACCCGGAAGTATCCCACGGCGCCGAATGCCTCTTCGCTGGCATCGACAAAAATATGAAGCTGGATCTCCTCCGCGGATGTGAAAATGGGGGAGTAGCAGCGAGGAAGCCGAAATTCCGGAATCTTCTGCACCTCCTGTAGCCAATTCTTCCATGACTCGAACATTGATCGGGGAATCTCATCATCCCACCCTATCCCACTACGCCATGCCTGCTGAAGTAGGATTTTGGCTTTGATGGTCAGGATGGCGAGGAATCCGAACGGGTCGTAAATGGACATGACGAGTGAGAGCATCTCACGCTTGGTGGGAATTTTCTTGCCGGTCAGAATCTCCTCTCTGGCTTTGACGAAGTTGAGGGAGAAAGTGAAGACGTCAGATTCCGGTCTCCAGAACAGACCGAGGACTCGTTCGATGACATTGTCTTCTCCCATTTGAAGGTCTTTCATGTTGTTAGCTCGCAATTCCTCGGGAATGTGGGCGACAACTTCGGGCGAATTTCACAGCCAATTTCTCAAATTAAATCCACCGGCGGCGTGGATGGCTCGGACTTCATCAAATCTTTTCATCCCCTGCTCCACGGTGTCACAACAGTCGAGGAGGTCGTCAACATAGTGGCGGTTGACTATGGCGTCGCAGGCGTCAGGAAATTGCTGTTGAAATTCTGCAGCATTCTGGTTCTTGGCTTCTTGGGCACACGTCGGGGAGCATGTTGCCCCAAAAATGAGGACACCCATCTCGAGGACGTCGGGGGGACGGGAACGGTCACGCCCTCTCCACAGGAAGCGTTGGGCTTGGGCATCTTCTTTCTTCACCCTCACCCGATGAAACATGTCCTCAATGTCGGCCGTTAGGGCTATCTTCCGCTGGCGAAACTTGAGGAGAATATTTGGCAGAGGGACCAGCTTGTCTGGTCCTTGGAGGAGGTAATCGTTGAGGCTGCGCCCATGATTCTTGGCGGCGGCATCAAATACAAAGCGAAGTTTCCCTGGTTTCTTTGGGTTGTAAGCCATGAAGTGGGGAATGTAATTGGTCTTGGCGGTGGTAATTGCAGCTTCGTCGGGGGGCAACCTTCTTGCGTATCCTTTGCTAAGATACTCTTCAATCTTCGCACAATAGCTGCTCATGAATGCAGGGTCGCCGTCCATCTTCTTTTCCATGGACAACAGGCGACGGTACGCGTTGGAATAGCTCTCCGGGAGCTGGACGTGGTCATCGCGCCACAGCAGAGCGGTTTCCCATCCGCCCTCGACGCGATGAGTGGCTGCATCGAGGATTTGCTGTGCTCGCTTGTCCTCGTTGGTTCTTGGGGTTTCCACGAGAGGCTTAACTCCGAACGACTCAGTGGAAAATTGATCTTTTACGAGTTGGTGAAGTGGGTCGAGTTCCTGCATGTGATATGGGTACTGTTCACGGCCGGCCCACGCAGTTCTGCCCATTAGCGCCCATCCTAGAGGCGTACGGATGGCAATGGGGGAATTGCTGTCGCTTCCTTTCCCAACACGACAATCTTGTTGGAGGAAGAGGCTGGGGTTATCCATCCCCACAAGAATCCCTGGACGTTTGCAATCATAGGTCTCCAAATTAATCCCTCGCAAATGTGACCACTTATTTAGCAGTGATTTCCGGACTGACTGCTCGCGGAGCCTCAGTCGGTCCACCGTCTTCACGTTTTTCAGGTCTTGCTGGAAGCTGCCGTCCCGTGACTTGACGCGGACGGAGACGACTTTGGTGTTTATGAGAGCGGGGTCACTCTGGAATCCGCCCACTCTGATCTGACGAGACGGTCCCTCCAGTCCAATGGCTTTGGCGATTGTGCTCTCCACGACGGTGAGGGTGCTTCCGCAATCGAGCATCAGGTGCGTCTCGATTGACCCCTTTGGACCCTCCAGCGTCACGGGCAGTATCATCAGATTGATGTACGGCAACTCTTCACCCGTGTTCACCATCTCTGGAGGAACTGCTGGGGGACGCTGACGGAGAGGACTTTCTGGTTCCTCCGCGGGTCGTCTTCTTGGCTGGTTAGTGTGAAGCAGCTTGTGGTGGGGTTTGTCGCACCCCTCGACTCCACAAGCTCGCGGAAACTGGCATTCCCTTCTGGAGTGGCCGGACCCCAAACAACGGAAGCAAATGTGCTGGCTTTTTACCAGCTCCCATCTCTCATCCATTGATTTGTTGGCGAAGTCCGGGCACGTATACAATTTATGACGGTTGTTTTTGCAACAGGGACAGCTCTCTGGCGGCCTTCTTTGTTGTTGACGGGGACGATTATCTTGACGGTTGCCTCGTGTTCTCTTCGCTTCCTCTTCCGCCACCATGACTCGGTCGTGGGAATTCTTCCTCCTGCGCTCGTGGTGGCGGTCTTCGCTGCTTATCTTGGGGGGACAAAGGGGCCATGCAGCGTCCGAGTAGTTGGTTAGCCAGTCCGCGAAGAAATCAACGGTGGCCACTTGTTGACCGGATTGCTGTAGATGTCTGGACCACTCCAACTGACTGACGCTCGGCAACTTCCCCACCAACTCCTTGATGAGCATGGGGTTACTTAAATGTTGGGCACAGTTTAGGGCTTGAATAGTGGCGGAGAGATTATCTACGGCGATGCCCAGGTCAACGAGGGTGTCCAGCCGTTCCATCTTGACTGGAGGTAAATCCTGGACCCTCTTCATCATATTCTCTATGATTTGATCGGGCCGACCAAATCTGCGTTGCAACTTTTGCAAAACTGTTGGGACGCTTGCGGGGGACAGTAGAAGACATTGCACCATCTTCAGTGCTTCTTCCTTCAGGCAGCGTTGCAGACGGACGAGGTTTTCTGCAGGGGAAAACTGGCAGAAACTGGTGCTGCTTTGGTAGGCAACGAAGAAGGCGGGCCACTCTTCCGGTCGGCCAGAAAACACTGGCAAATCCCGACCCTGAAGCTGTCGAGCCAAAATCTTGTCGGTTACTGAAGCAGTTGGCTGGCTGTTCACCTGGGGAACCATTACGTTTTGTTGCGGGGATGGACACCCGGCATTCTGCTGCGGGGGTGGATACCCAGCGGTCTGCTGCGGGGGTGGATACCCAGCGGTCTGCTGCGGGGGTGGACACCCGGCGTTCTGCGTGGACGACGGCACGGTCCAATAATTCGATGAACTTGGGGGGGGATTCGGCTTTGCAAACGTTGCAAAGAGTGGATTGTTCAGGGCAGTCGTGGTGGTCGTAGCTGACGATGAAACCGTTCGGGGTTGTGAATTCGTTTGCGTTGTAGTCATGGGCGGAGATGATGATGACACTTGTGGCTGTGTCCACCATGACCACGGCGTTTGACATGATTCTGGAGCGATAGGGGGCATAGCTTGGCTTGTTATCGTTGTCGTGGGTGGCTGAGCAAATGAAGGAACACTTGACGCAAACTCTGGCGTGATTGTCGGGAAATGCCAGGCATTCAATTCAGGGGAAACAATTGATGGGGTAATTGGAGGTAGACCTGTCTGCTGTTGCTGTTCACCTGCCCATTTAAGAGTCAAATCCCTCTTATCTACTTGCTCCAACTCCATTTCTACGTCCGAATCGCTGTCCAACTTGTTCATGTCCATGTCAGCTTGAATTTGGATTTCCTTTTTCTGGATTTCCACTAGTTCTTCTTCGAACTGAATTTCCACCTTTGCTCGCACCAAATCCTCCGTCAACTGTTCCAGGTCGTTTTCCAGACCTTTACGTGTTGCCGTGAAGCGTTCTATTTCTTCTGGGGGAAGGGTGCGGTCTTCGCACAGATCGTGCAAACGTTGGATCTTGCGGGAGAGGTTCTGATGCCGCGCCTCCATGAGGGCGAGCTCCCTTCTTCGTGGTAGTTGCGCCTTATCCACTTGGACGAGTGCGGAACGAGTTTCCGCCTCAATCTTCTTCTGTTGGCTTCGGACGGTCCCTCTAGATCCGCTCCCTGAGTTGGAGCGACCGGACGTCGACGCTGGCGAATCCACGGCCGGCGGAGCTGCAAGGACGAAATCCTCGAATCGTCGTGGCATTGCTCCCGCGGTGGACCGGACAGGTCTTCCTAGTCCCGACATCTAGAGGACCAATAGACCCAACAAAGAGAAAAATTAAATATTGTCCTTGTGGGGGGGAAATTGGACGTCACTTCCCAGATAATGAACCCCTTCGGGCGGGTACAAACCCAAAATACAGGTGTCAACTGGGTGACGACGACTCCCAGTTGTGGCGTTGCGGTATGGACCCTATTTGGCGGCGGTCCGGAGCGTGACGACGACCCGACGGTATGGACCCTGGCGATGGTCGGCAGGTGGTCCTCCTCCTCGTCGAATCTCTCTCTCTCTCAACACTAACACTTTAGGGCTGAGTCAATTCGGTCGCGTGACCATGTGGTGGTTTGGTTGTGATTTAGAGGACTGTATGTAGGTGTGACTTGTGATTCGATGTTATAACTTGATGACCGTGCAAATAAACGAAGTGGCGGTGGTCAAACGATGTAGTTATTTAATGTCACAAATCCAATTGCTTTTACAAATTAAGAGAGAGTGGCGATGTACAAATATTTAGCGACGAAAAGGACAAAATGGTTGGAGGCACTAGTTCTTCCTCCGGTCGTCGTAGCATACTAAAATTATTTTACCAACTTTCACATATATGTGGCCGAGTGGCCATTACACAAAACTCCCCACTTTTCACAAACACCAATCCAAATTGAACAACACAACTGAAGTGGGAGTACAATAGGAATTATTCTGACCAATTAGGAGAAAGGTTACACGAGTTCACAAGAGTCAAGTAGTCAAATTTCAAGATAAAAGTTGGACAGAAAATCCAATTAGTGGTAGCCAGAAGGGCGACAGCAAAACTAAATTTACATCTTGCGGGCATCTCATGCTGCCTCTCCAAAGGGAATTCTGGGTAGGTTAGGCTTCCGGCACAGAAAAAGGTTCTGTGCAGACTGCGTGTCTGCACAGAAAAAGGTTCTGTGCAGACTGCGTGTCTGCACAGAAACTCTCCGGGAGGGTAAGCACCCCGGCACAGAAACTCTACATGCATCGCTATCGTGTCATTCATCATCATATCACATTAAAACTATACAAATGCGGACAAATATTCATACAAATATCCCCAAGTCAAATCATAAAACCAATCATGTCATTACATAAAATTCATATTATTACATAAAATTCATATCATGTCAAATTATTCATTTCTCGACGACATCAGGTAAAGCCAGACTTTGCAAGACAGAACGAGACCTTTTAACTTCTCCTGTCTCTTCATTTTCACCCACTAAATCAAAACGAACCAAATTCAGCCTCTCTGACCCCTGATACCAGCCATTAGAAAATATATCAATCACTATATTATTGGCACTGATAAAATCTTGTCCTAGCAAAACCGAATATTCAAGCTCTGGCACAAAATGAAACTTTTGTTTCCTAATTCCGGAAACCCACGTAGTAGTTAAATTTGCAAA